GTTCTGTCTCAGAGTGAGATGTTTCACTCAGTGACAAATAGCTCGGATAGTTTCTCCGCTGGGCTGCGAACTGGGTTTGAGAAATTTATCTAACTCAGGAGAGTCTGCCTGCATAGCTGGGAAGTGAGGTCAAGCCTTCGCTGCAGCTGCCGCCTGCAAAACACTAACAGATAACAGGCCTGCCTGTCAATATTGCCTCCCTGTATCCCCCCTCACTGTCTTTGCTTGCCTAATTTCTCATCAAGACTTTTTATTTCACTGTCTCAAGAGTGTAATGTCCCACAGTTGTCTTGTAGTTGTGACAAACAGCATCTGTTGACTGGAATTACAATGCTCGAACTCGACATTCGTGAGTAATGAGTCAGTGATCCCCCCTCGACTGCGCTAACACTCTTCATGTAGTCAGAGAAATGATGATGCACTGTATTCAGCCAAATGGGGTTGGGAGGTTGCGGATATGATGATGGAGTGCTGGAGATCTGGTTGCAGAAACGAGGCAGAGATCAGTCATTTATGTTACTGTAGATATTTCACCTTAAAGGAGGGATGATGACGGATGTTGATGGTGATTTACGGAGGAATAAGGAATGCAATCCTATCATTCAAACATGGAGTTTTAGTTGTGTAAACATAACCCAACTGTAACTATCATATTGTTGTGGAAAGGACTGACAAATGATGTTTGAGGCACCATATTAGAAAATGCTCATATATGGAGTGTTTTGGAAAGCAGCGACCAACAGCCTATTTACATCAGTTAGACCTGTCATGTTAGCTACTTTTGTCGGATGAAATATTATCCCAGGAATAATTGTAATAAATGATATTATTGTTATTTTGAGAACATTTTCTGCCACTGAGATAATGATAATATAAAAGCATAATAATGCAAGGACACCCTCTCAAAGAGCAATGAGCTTTTGATTTCAGCAGAAATGACAGAAAGATGTGTCTCTATATAGTTGTTCTCTGTTCATCTGGCTTTGGTGCAGTGGGGAAAACATTGCTATTTACTTTGGCATCATGTTCCCAAAAATATTGGTGACATTCTTATGTAAAGAACCATGCATGCAAACACAAGGGCCACATCGTATGATATATGGACAGGACCTTGATCAGTTTTGCTGACCTTGATAAGTCATTGGACATTAGACGTTGATCTTTGGTGAATTTAGGTTGTGATGTCAGGCGACCAAAATTCAGTGTTAGGACAACGTCTAATGCCAATGTCAGTTTGATGAAGAATACTGACAACAGATGATGATGATAATGATATTTGGTTGGTTTTAATTTATGTTGTTAAGCAACCAAAATCGAACATCCTCCAAACGTCCCATGCCAGCATTATCTTGATGTAGAATAACTATGGCCGCCCTCAACTAAGAATTTTCTTAGTCAACCAATTGTCGTCATTTAGGGCCATCAGTCGACTAGTCTCCCGCATGTTTACGATATTGATTCAATTATTAAATTATATATAATGGTTTGAGTTGAAGGTGTGAGAAAGAATAGTATCAGTAACATTGTTAACACTGTGCTACATTACAGAGAAATACAAAACCGTGCTAATGAACCTTCATTAATATAGGCCTATATTTTATCTACAAGTGCACGTCACACAATGAGCGAGCTGCCTGTTAATGACGCTGTGGGCTAATGGGCATGTAGCTACTTCCATGTTTCAGATGATACGTCATGTTTGTAGTCGACCAATGAAGATGAGTTTACATATCACCTTGGGTTCGTCCTTCACCTTCTCAAAATGATCCCACACTTTGTATTTCCTGCCCGACATGTTATTAACTAGCCTGTGGAATAACCGCAGGTACCAGCCCTGGAAATTAACGTGACTCCTGTCATGTTGCTGAGCGTGGCCACTTCCTGTGTCTGTCCTTTCAAATTGAATCCCCACATGGTCCAGTCATATAGGTTTTGATTGAATTTGATGAGGTACAGCTCCTAATAATAGAGTTTCACGTTTGCTTGGGGTTTTTTTTCCTGCGACTAAGTGACCAATGAAATCTTGCCGACCCTTCTAGTCGACTAACATTTGGTTGACTATTAGGGGGCAGCCCTAAGCATAACAACGTTTAATTGTAAGTTATGGAGAGCAACACCTGACCCCTACAAAATGTCACAATGTTAACATCCATACAAAGGGGACTTTTTTTTGTGAAAACTAATTAATGCGTATGTCTTTTCCTCACATCAGATAATAAAATATTAATAATAATAATAATAAATAAGTCCAGTAGTTTATTATCATTGCACTTGCGTAACCTTTCCAGCACCTTTTAGTTTTCAAATATTATTTTTCTATGTTCTTGGTGTTAGCGTGTTTACCGATTTCAAAAATGGCTGTGCTGTGGCACAAAATCATTGTGATAAATAAGATTATACTGCGTGGTTAAACTAAGTGGGAGAAATTGATTTCATATTTACACAGTTATTTATTTATTTACAATCACTTTAAATTATTAATTTCACAGTGGTTATCAATGTGGCCTTTTACGGTAATTTTCCCTTTTGGCATCCCATAAGTGGTTACCTAATGCACCCACAATAACAAACTACATTAAAAACACTGTGCAACGAAATTACTTTGTACTCAAAGTGTCAGTAATAAGCTTTAGATGTGGTTATGGAGTGTTTTTGTTCTGTAGACTGATGGTGTGGTTGTTAAGTGATGCTGATGTGGCTGCAGAGTGATTTTTTCTTTATTCAAAACAAACCAAAAACAACAAACTCTGGCTCCCAGATGGAGTGGCTTCACCCACACTGTATATATTACCTCATCCGATCAGTGGTTGTGCTGATGGATACATTTTCATGGCCAAAATTTAAGTTTCTGCTTCTTTATTTAATTTGATTTATTTATTTATTTATTGTTGTGGCTCCGTAGATGGAGAGGAAAAGACAAGATGTCTGCCTGGTTCAAATCCAGGACATCACATTAGCATAATATTAATTTAGAGTGAAAGTGGAGGTGGCAGGATGCCTCCCATGTGCAGCATTTGGGGCATAATTTTTTAAGATGACACTAAGAAGACGTGGAGCCATTTTGCTCAAGTCATAGTGAATCATTGTTTCTCAAGTGTGAGTCAGTCTGAGACCAAAGGAAGTCATTAGTGTTCAAATGTATCATTTCCATTTGAAAGTCATTAAAAACTGCAGGAGCCCAGGACGTCTGAGACTCAGATCAAATTCACCAAAAACAAAACAAAATTAACTGTTTTAAAGTTCTTAATCACATTGTTGTGGCATTAACTTCACATTCAGCACAAGTGTTTTGTCAGACTTATAAAAGGCAGAAGAAACCACAAATTAGAATAGGTAGGACGCTTAATCACTCATTACTAACAGTGACTCATGTCAAGCCAAACAAAGAAAAACCTCACCAAAGCCAGAGACTGTTTTTTGCTTCTTTTATTTATGTGTCTCTCAAAGTCTATTATACAATTCAAGCACAGATGTATTACAAATTTGTTTGGAATCACTGAGGCCTTCGAAAACTCCAGTTACAAAATGCATTTATAAGAATTCTGAGATAATTCAACTAGCGAGTGAAGTTTGTGTGCATCTTGATATAACTGAAAGAAACTATGGGCCCAGAACTGCCTCATTAGTATAAAGAATTATGAAATAACGCAGGTTAAAATTGACAAAGTGCAAAATATATTTACTCAACCAAACTTTTACTCAGCTTTTCAAACCATATCACCAACTTCTACAACTTTTTGGTGGCCAAGGATCAACAACTGTGTATAGCTCATAGGGCAGCCTTATCCATGATCAGTTTCTCGATATATTTAAATCTGTGAATATATGTATTTTAAGAAACAAAAGCATTCATTAAGGTGTCTTTTTTATACTCCAGAGAAACATTTTTTTTATGCTCCCTGCACGAATTTAAACATTTTAATGCCTCTGCGCTGATGATAGCCATGGCTTTACGTCCGTTTCTGTACACATGCCCGTCCCATTCTCGTCAATGGAATATGTCAAGAATGCAGTGAGGGTATTTCTTCCACTTTGGCACAAACATCTACTTGGACTTAATGATAAACTGAATAGCTTTTGTTGTTCGTAGGTGAAAAGTCAAGGTCACTGTGGCCTCCTCTGTCTCATTCTTGTGATTGCAATATCTCAAGATCACCTTAAAGGACTTTTTTTTTTTTTTTCCCCAAAATTGGCACCAACGCTTACTTGGACCCAATGATGAAGTGATTAGATTTCAGTGGTCAAAGGTTATGGTCACTGTGACTTCGTCTGTCTCAAAGGTCAAGATCACTGTGACCCTGGCTTTCTCATTCATTTGAACGTGATATTTTTTGTGTGAATTTCTTCAAATTTGACACAAACGTCCATTTGAACTCACGAATGAACTGATTTTTTATGATCAAAGGTCAAGGTCACTTTGACCTCATCTGTCTCAAAGGTCAAGGTCACTGTGATCTTGTCTTTCTCAGACTTTTGAACGTGATATCTCTTGTGTGAATTTCTTCAAATTTGACACAAACGTCAACTTGAACTCAACAATGAACTGATTTTTATGGTCAAAGGTCAAGGTCACTGTGACCTCACAAACAAGCTTTTAGCCCTAATTCAAAAATTCATTCACTAATTGTGACAAAATTTCATACAAATGTCTAATAAGATAAAATTATGAAGTGATGACATTTTATATTTCCAAAAGATCAAAGGTCAACTTGACTGTGACATCATAGTGTTCTGCATAAACACTTTTCTGGCCATTACTCAGCATCATAACTCAGGAACAGAAAGGGAGACATTTGGACGGATACTGAATCAGTGACGCTAATCTTGGGTGTCCACCTTCAGACTGTGCTGATTGTATAGATCCTCTGTGCTGCCAGGGGAAGATGTGTGAGAAGCATCTATGTTTCAACAGACATGGATGTGAACTGTAAGTGCAACTGGACTGTTGCATGAACTTGGGAGGCAGTAATTCTCATTTACTCTGCTTCTTGTCTCCTCAGGTGCGTTCATTGTCTGCTGGACCCCCGGCCTGGTCATCCTCCTCCTCGACGTCTTCTGTGCCAGCTGCAATGTCCTCACCTACGAAAAGTTCTTCCTGCTCCTCGCTGAGTTCAACTCGGCCATGAACCCCATCATCTACTCCTACCGCGACAAGGAGATGAGCGCCACCTTCAGGCAGATCTTGTGCTGTCAGCGGCAGGAGAACGTCAACGGGACGACGGCAGAGGGGTCTGACCGGTCCGCGTCGTCCATCAACCACACAGTGCTGAGCAGTGGTATGCACCACCACCACAACGAACACTCGGTGGTATAGAGCAGGGCTGGAGATCATGGAAACTAATCCAACTGCTTGAGGGGGTTAATCTGTTTTGGAGACTGAAAGAAGGTAAACGGCAGCACGGGAAGGTCGAGAAAGACTGCGAACATGATGCGAACTTGAGACAGTCACGTGATAAATTGGAGAGTGAAGATTAGGTAGATGGGGTGGAGCTGATGAGGCGCTGAATGAGATCACAATGAAGAAGAGAAAGGCAACTATGAAGAAAGATGACAAGAGACTTTACCGCTGTGGGAGTCTGATCTTCGAGGACTCTGATAGGCTGTTAGTGTTTTTGTTTAGTTGTTTATTATTTTCTATTTGTGTTGTTATGGACAACGCTGATATGAACTATTTAAAAGTAATCTGTGAAATGAAGGTAATGCCAGTACTCCAGTCTACTCTAACTCTGTATCCTGTAGTCGTGGGTTTCAGACTTTTCCCCCTTGACCCCCATTCTTTAGAAAGGTCTCATTACATCATACGCTTATTGCATACAGATATGACATCAGAGTTTCCTTCACATCCATTTGAGGACCCATTTTGGGTCTGAATCCAAATTTAAAACACATTTTTTTCATTATTGTTTGGGAGTAAAGACAGTAATTCAAATGCAGTTTTGTGCTCATAACATGTAACTGAATGTTATTTCCAGCAGCCTTTCTTAATAGCATTTGCATCTATTTCCAGGGTTTAACGACTTACCAAAAAACATTGTTGTACCCATTATATTTAAGTTACCAGAGCCACTATACATTTCACATTCATCTTTTAACGACACGTGACCTGACAGCCTTAATCCTCTTGGGACTCATTATTCTACTTATCTTATTCTCGTAGTTAAAAGCGTTCAGAAATCTACTTCCTTCTTTTCATCCAACCCAAATACATGAAGGGTCCAAGATCAGTTGTTTATTCCCTCTAAGGAATTAGAGACAAGTTGTTCCAGGGATCTTACCAAAAACGGGAGGAGGATGTTTTGTGGTTTTGGAGCAGGCTCTGTGCCACAGTGTTATGTGGAGACAAGGTGAAGGTCATTTCTGGTGAGTGTTCACAGACTTCAGATCATGACATGAAATGTGCTGAGCTGTCGGACTCTCGTGGTTTTATCAAGTGGCTCTTGAGTCCGTGAGGCTGACTGAGGAAGAGGAGGAGGGGGGTGAGTGAATGTGAAAGTATAATCAGTGTTGATGTGAATTTGAGAGAGGTGACGAGGTGGGTCATTCCGTCTTTTCAGTATGAACATGAAGATATAATGTAGTTCACAAATTCAGTTGGGGCTGCAAACACTGACCTTCAAATTGCCTTGCAGTCTGTCAAATAGTTATATTTCAGTCGGGACCAAAGAGGTGGACTGATCCATAGACTAGTAACATTGCCAATACAAATCCAGTTTGTTATTGGTCAGCAGTGAAAAATTGTGTCAGAGTTCAGAGTTTGCTTGGATTTACTTGGTCTCCACAAGTGTTCCAATATTTTTGTCCAAAATGTGACTTTAGTCCTGCCTACTAAATTTAACCAATAAGCTGCACTTCCAGCTGGTGTGGCTGTTATCAGGCCATTAAACGGTCATAATCAGGGGTTATAAGCGTCACAGATATGAGTTAAAAGGGGCCTCCCACGCCTATTATCAATTCAGGAGGCCATTACGTTTATTGTCAGGTGATGACCTCTTGGCGGCTGTAATAATTATGATGAGGAAGTCAGGTGACGTAGCGTAAAGACAGAGAAAGTTGGCGTCTGGCAAGAAGGAGTTCAAAAATTCAAAATGGACTTATTTACCAGAGATGGTTGTGTTCCTAAAGCTAATCACATTGTTGTTGCGAATACACCTAATAAAAGTGAAAGCAAAACCTAATGAAACTCCATTTGTTTCATAACGTTGGATATTAATGGGCTAAAAACAGCCTTTGAACCCAACAGTAGGTGTGGCAGGCCCGTTATAACACACATCCATGAGGTTACAGACAATAGATAACGGCCATTTAATGGACTGATAACATCTGAATTGGCTGCCATTTCAAATTAGCTTCGAATATTGTAATGATATGGTCTTAAAACCCAACAATCTTAAAGTCCAGTGTGCATCTTTTATGGCTGTATTTAAGAAAAAATACCATTTTAGAACATGCTCATTGACCTTCTGTGATATGCTCATAAAGTAGTCACAAACACTCTAAGAGGAGTAGAAAATATCCTTCATATTTACCAGAAACTGAATGTTATGTCCACAGTAACAGTATTACTGGTGATATGAAGTAAAACCGAAGTTCATTGAAAATCTATGACGTTTTCGTAAGTCATAATATGAGATGGTTGGGGTTATGATTATTTTGTAACCAGTCTTTACTTGCAAATGCTGCAAAACTTCGGACACGTCAGAGCTTTAAAGCTTCCCAGCTGATTAAGTTGGCACATATTACAGATTGGACTCATGTCCTGGTCTCATGTGAAACTTGGTGACAGGCATATCATGGGGTTTCTGATGTCGATGAACATTAAGGATTTTTGGAAGGCCATTCTTTTTGAAGGGGAACTGACAACAATGACGTACCACAGTTTACTCTTCAGGGGAGACACTACAGGTGAGAACTTCAGAAGCAGTAAGAAAAACAGACACACAGCTCACCTTGACATCTTAGCTTGTCCCTTGTGGTACAAACATGTTAATGTTTGCCACAACATGAAAACGCCCACCTGTACAATTGTAAGATTTCTTAAAGAAATACGCAATCCAAAAATCCTGGCACCAGATTTCCACATTCGGTGACTACCTTGAGAACAGTTAAATGCAAATCTGGACAACAGGACACCTGAGGAGCTCTAATGATCTTCACGGCGAAGAAAGTGAGAATGACAGACGGGATGCTGCAGGCATTTATAAAGGGGGACAGGCTGGCCTGTGCAACTCACGTGGAGCTTCCATAATCTGTCATGCCTGAAGGCACCTCCCATAGTGAGATACCTCACTCGGTTATCAGAGAACCGGGGTTATCTTGGTAACCCAAAGTTTTACCCTTTTCATCTGTAGTGTCTTACTTTTGGTCTAAAAATGTAGGCTATGGAATTTTACAATACATATCTTTAAACCTTATAACATACAAGCCAAAAATCTCCATTTAAATAGCACTTACATAGACCAAACTATCCAGATTTAATCTTGTACTCTGAAGGTTTTTACAGAGGGGTCTGTTCACAAAATCAAACAAGAATTTTAAACCATGTTTAGATTTCTGTTCTGGAAATGTATGCGGATAAGCACATATTTAATTTGATAATGAATCTTTTGCATATTTATATAACATCTCACAGAACTTGTACTATGTGAAATATTAGTTTTAATGTTATTAATCTCCTGGGGAAGTTTCATTTTGATATCTATTAGTTAAGACCTGTAATGTCTCCCCTTTTGATAATACTACAAAGTCAAACAGAGTTGAGCCACTGCAGTGTTGAATGGCGATATCTCATTTCCACAAGTGCACTCCCCACCCTCTGCTATTAACTTGAGACTCGACTGAAAGTCAGCCTGGCTCCGATGCTATGACGTACGTCGTTAAAAAGCACCAGCTGAACGTTGTGTCGTGACTTGAATCAAAACACATTTGGGCCAAAATACATAGACAAAGCTCCAAACAGCTGACAGAAACGTGAGAGCCGTGGCCAAAAACACAGTCAAATGTTTTCCAGGAAGCAAGATGTTTGTCAGGGATTTAGGCTGCAGTGAAATGAAGTCAGCTGGTATTTTTGCCTGTCGAAGTTGGCCAAGATGTCGCCCTGTTATGAGGCAGTGTAGGTTTTTTTAATCTCTAGTTTGGATTTTCTTTTCAGCGTACCCTAGCTGTTGAGCGTTCAGAGTGAGTTTCTTATCGTCTTCGTCCCCAGCTACATTTTCCTTATTGTTTTTGGCCTTTAAATCTCCAATCTTCCTCCTAACTTAATTCCTCAAGTTTCGTCTTCGAGTTTATCCACCCTTCACTTCTGTTAACTTCACAACAGGCCTCACAACACTTCCACTGGCCAAACCTTGTCTCTCTACGGCTCTGGACCCAACCCTCCATACCCGACATTCACTGTAACCATTTCTCTTACACAGTATTGATTCAGGTTATATAGCAAACCAACTAAACTGTCTGTCTCTGTTTGTCTCTGTTTACCAGTGTGTCACTCTTTGTACACCATTGTAAGTATATGTGTACAGTATGTGTGTATATAAAAATATATTATTCAAAGTTAATCACCAAAGGGAAAGTGTTTTTTGTGTTTGTAAATTTAAGTGTGTTATAATCTGTCCAAATGTACTGTAGGATTTTGTTTATTTTGTTTTTATGTCGTGAGCTCTTTTATATTGTGATCCTAACTGATGAGTTTCCTGTAGATACTATTACAGTTATTAACTTGTTTGTGACCCAGAACTAGATATCTATGTGTGCGGTGCCTTCCAGTCCTCGTCCTGTAAAGAGTAAACCTAACACCAGGTTGTAACGCAGTGTTTTACCACCCTCTCTGGTTGAAAATGTGCCTTGTTGCACCTGTAGCCACACCCAGCAGTGATGTCACAGTGTCTTGGAGTTCACTGTGACATCACTGCGGCAAAGTGAGAAGCTTAACCAATGGAGGCGGGTGAAAACGAGATCATCAGGTGGTGTTTTCCTTCTCTTTAAGTGTGTGTGTGTTGCTAACACCGTCGTTTTATAATTGCCTTAAAGTACAACAAGAATTATTGTCAGTGTTAGAGCGATATTTCACGTTTGCAGAAAGTTTGATGCTTGATTTTTGTTAATAACAACACATCCTCAAAAACTGCTAAATGAAGTCAAACTCATAAATACAGATTGTATATTTTGATTCTGTTTGTAGTATGAGTTTGTAAAAATATAAAACTCTTGTTCCAGCTGAAAATATTTGATCGATGTTTCAACTTTTTGGGGGCGGGGTCAAAACAAGTTCAAATCATCTGATTTGGGGGCACTAATTGAAATTTAATGTAATCTATTTTTATTTGTCTTTTTGTTCAACAAGGAGACAAAATTCATTCTTATGGGCAACACACACTGGCATATGAAGCATGCGTCAGTCTGTGATTATTCATGCCAGGATACGCCACTGGCCTTCCTCTCATTTTCAACACATTTCTCATATTAGCACGGCTATTGTACTCTGACTACTACTTCATTTGTTTGTACAACCCCATCACCAGAAAAATGTTGGTATTGTATGTTTCTGCAAATGTGTTAAATTGGCATGTTAACTTGAAACTGTGGTTCGGCTTAGGCACAGAAACCATTTGTGGTGGTTTGGAAAAGATCACGTTTTGGCTTAAAATACAGGGTTTACAATCCTAAAAACACAGCAATGTCTAGGTAAAAAAGTTTGGTGCCGTAAAAGCCACTGGAAACCTAGCAAAGACTCAATAAAAGACAACCGGTTTCGTTGGTTTCAAACAGTGGTTTGCCATAGTCAGATACCGAGGCCAAAAGCCACCTTTCGTGGTTGTATGATTCGTCACTGGGCAGTGTCAGTTTGTTACGCAGATGGATGGAACTTCTCGTGGTGTTATGATATGCTGCTAGCTGGCCAGATGACACCTGTTGCAGCAGTATAATATGCCACAGGACAGCGTCAGTTTGACACGCTGATGAAATATAAGGACCTGGAAATTCCCTATAGGGAAGGGGTGGGGTGGTAGATGGGTCCAACAAACCCTGGACTTTCACCTGGGAGCCCGGTGTTCGCTTCCTGTATGAATGTAGAGCCAAACCATGATGTATTTCTTTATATCTAACCATGTGCTTTGGATGATGCCCTGATGTTGTTAGCAGTGTTCCGAAACATCAACAGCAGACGCAGGAGGACACCTAGCACATAATATGTGGATGTAAAAGTCCAATGACAAAATGGTGATATGTGACGACTTGGGATGAGAACGTGTTGGCTTGGCAGGTGTTTCTCGCCAAGGTGTCACCAAGTCTACCATTCCCTTCACCTACTAATGAAAGTCAGCCATGTACTATGTCACTTCAAAAATATTGATATTTTAAGTATCAAAATTGCAAATGTAGCATGTTTGCTTTTTGCAGAAATGTACAATGCCAACATTTTCTTTCTGCGACTGGTCTGACTGGTGCATCCAGTGTTTGCTATGGCCAGTGTGTGTTGCCTTAAGAAATGTCATTTTAATACCAAAAACCATTCATCCCATGTGTATGCTTACACAGAATGATGATATGTACATTATCAGGAGCAATGACTGATCTTCCAAACTGCAGGTCTGGAACATTTTGTTCTTCCAAAGTCAAACGTTGCTTTAAAGTGTTTTTGAACATTTGTCACCAAGCCTCAGATTTAACAAACCAAGTACCAGTAGTTTGTAGAAAGTAAGTGTGACACAGGCGTTAATGTGATTTCCATACTCTCTATACTGTACGGGCCAATATCAATGAATGTCCACCCTGAGTCATAGTGTTGATATCCAGCAACAATAAAAACATGAGAAAAGTCTGAATTATTGTGTTTTTTATGTGAAATTAGACACAAATATTGTGAAAACGGAGTTTAGAAAGACCCTGATTTTGAATGTTTGTCGAATGTCTTATTTTATTCTACGTTTGGCCTTGCTATCATCACTCCTGTCTGATATCAAATTGTTTTTTTATTTTTCTGACATCCAAAAAGTAAGTAACAGGCAAACGGGGGAACACACAGGGTCACAGACAGACACAGACTGATGATGTTTGCTTCATGACATGCAGGTTTTTATGGGCTAGACCTAATAATCGTTCGACCTTGAGGCTGTTGACACATTAGACAGCCTTGACTGTCAGCGGTGTGTATTCTCAGTTTTGTTTTGCGTGGCTGTGTGTTTAGAGGTGAGACAGTGCTCAGGGAATCAGCTTCCATGACTTAAATGTGTCTGTTGAGGTGATGTGTTTGGACTTGGCTACGTTAAATTTTTGTCAGTCATAGATGAAAGATGGTCCGAACACCCCCACAGGCCTCGGAGCTAAGTCATGTTGTATCACCAGACACATTATTATATGAATATCACCTGACAACATTCTGGAGTGAAACAAGGATGGCTTTGGAGTTTGGGAGAATAGACTGGGGCATTATAGTTGGGGGTTATGGATAGCATGGACAGCAAAAAGCAAAGTGAATATATTCTGAGCTGTGATGAGAAACTCAGTCCTGTTTTTCTGCCCTTGGCCCAAACAGTTTAAAGCTGCAGTGCTGAAATATTTATTGAACAACGGATTAAAATACCATCTTTCGGCTTATTGCTTTGGTTTTCATGGCCCGCACTTTTACTGTTTTGGTCCACTCTCATGCTCTCCATGCAAGCTGCATCAGGCATTGTTTTGAAGTAAAAAGACCCCAATAAACTTGCTAAATGCTACCAGCACATGGTGGAGCCTTTGGTGCCAGATATTCCTCCTCAGTCGATGAAGACAAGACCAGAACTAAAAAGGAGAGGGAATATCTGATTTACATGAGAGTCCAAATGAATATCAACGCTGCTCCATGTCTGCTGAATGTATAAATAGGCAACTTTTTGCCATAAGGATCAGAAACAATCAGTTATTACAGCTTTCATACATTGTGTGTGGTCCAAAACATCTCTGCAAAATTCTGTCACAGAGACCGTAGATCCACTGTACAGAAGTGAAGCTAAAATATCACAGATAGGGCCCCTGCCATCTTGCTCTGGTGACCCTCTGCTGAGCCAGATGCTGTGTCTCAAATCGCGTACTTCTGTACTTGCGCTTAATATTTTGAGTGCATAAGTGCGTTCACACTGAGAAGTATGGAAAAATGCAGTGCACTATGAGTACCCGGATGGTGCACTCAAAACAGTCAAGAAGTTGAGTGTGGCACTATGGACACTTCTCGCACTCAGTGGTCGCCATCTTGGCTACGTACTGTTGCGGAAGGGGAGGGACCACTTTTCAAACTGGAAATGGCGACCGTGAACCTTGCTGCATTGTACAAACATGTTTTTTGCACTGAGCATCACTATACTGTTGTCGGGTATAATCCAGCAGTATGTTTATTGGGTTATTTAGCAGTCTGTAATGATTTGGTACCGCAAACTATAACGCGAATGCTAATGCTAGTTTGCTAACTAGCTAATTTGTGGTCGTCATTTCCGGTGAGTGCACAACGGCCGTATTTGGTTTGAGACAACACTACCCTGTCGAAATTTGCACACTACGCCAATGAGTACATAGTGTACATAGTATACTACATGGAAGTGTACTGATGGAAGTATGTGATTTGATGCTCATCCAACCAATTGCGAGCGGTACCACTGAATGGGAGCCCACTGATTGGCTCACACAGTGTCAATCATGTTGTAAAATCCTCGTTTTATAGCATTAAATAAATAATGAGGGGGTTAAGGAGGTTATTGTATTGTCAATTGTACATAAGGCTCTTAATTCAAGCATGTTGTATGTTTCTCACTCTGCCCTGATCACGTGCGTATTCCATCTTGCAGATGAGTAGCGTTAATTTCTGAGGATGTGCAAAACAAACGCTCCAAATGGACGCAGAATACGTGAAGCAGCCATCAAGCGCGCAAGAACTCGTAATTAGAGCAAGCATATCTGATGCCGTACTGGTAATTAAGTCCCTAGACCTAACAATGATTTATTTTACTGATACTTCCTGTGCCGTGACATTTTGTGGTGTAGTAACAACTATCTTTGTGCCTGTGGATATTCTCATTTATCCAGGTCATAGTTATCTCTCAAGGCAATTGAACGCAACTAGACTTGGTTTTGTCTTAGAAGACATTTCACCTCTTATCCAAGAGGCTTCATCATTTCATGCTTGTCTGACTCGGCTGGAACTATTCTGACAAAGTGGTGTGGAAGACCCAGGTATTTAACCTCTGAGGAGGCTTTCACAAGTTTTTCAAGGGGTTAAGCTGTTAAATCTCCTGGGCCAGGATGAAAGGACAACATTATAGGTGGGAGATAGGTGGTGTCGCAGACCTCCTCCTCTATTGAGAGATGGTTTTTCCAATTCCACATAGATGGATTCTTTTTCTCCTCTTTCAAACCATCTGTCTTCCTTGTCCAAAATGTGCAACTATCTTTCTTTTTACACATTTACAGGCATTCAAAGACAAAGTGTTGATCTAATAAAAGGACGAGAAATTAGCCATCTTTATTCCATCTATATATAGACCAGATGTACAAAGTGACCAAATATATGCTGATGATATGATGATGTTTTTGTGATAAATATCACTCTTAATTCCTGGTGCTCTTGAATCGCTCTTCACTGTGAAAGTAAAACAAAAAAGAAAACAGATGGACACTTTCAAACTGAATGTTTGGAGGTAATGACTTTACATTGCAGAATATGGACTGTGACCTCAAGCAGACACGCATGCAGCACTGGGCTATACAAGTGTGGTATGTGTGTTTGTTTAACATTATTGTGAGAGCGGTCAGGGTCACTATGTGTCATGTGTGACATGAATTAAGCAGCAGTCCTAGCAACAGCGGCCAAATGTTTTTATAGGGCAGAATGTTCTGTGTGTGTGTGTGTGTGTGTGTGTGTGTGTGTGTGTGTGTGTAATGCACGCTCTGCTATGTTTATTGTTCCACAACTTTGGAGTGCTAGCTTCCAGTTGACTGATATATGTCTCCATACTTCCTGTTGCTCCCTGAATGAGCCAATCAGAGCCCGTGCGGCCACACAGGACGTTCCTCTGTGCCGTCGCTGATTGAGGGGGATATCACATCTTCGTCACAATGTCAATACAGACACTTTCCGCGGTTCCCAGCATGATTTGCTGACTGACAGATGCGTCCCCTCGGTCAAGTATCCTACTGCGTGTGTGGCAGATAGCTGAGAGCTAATGATTTGAATGGACAGAATCAGCATTCCCGTTGCCAGAAGCATTTATGATGCATGGAAAAGTCAACAAGACTTAAAAGCTGAGCTGCTAACACGCCAAAACAGTCGGGAATTGCTGTGTTTCTGTTGAAACTTTCAGAAAATTTCAACGCATGAATCACATCCAGCCTCCTTTTGAAGCCTAGTCAAATTTCTTTGCTGCAAAGGTGGACGGAGCCAAAGGAGATTATCATGACAAAACAGGAAGTGATTCTTCATGGCAGTATAAATCTCAAACATTAAGAGCTGCTTGGCTGAAGTTGGCAGGAAGGGTAGAGAGTCCATTCAGATAAACCTCATGTTTGGAAAAGAGACAATCAGCTAAATATACTGTGAATGAGTGTTCCTTCCCAGTATCTGCAGCTGGCTTTGTGATGCATGTTAGCTAAGACCTTTCAGAGATGGAGCAAATGGCAACAGGGAGAAGGAACTGACTGAAACTACAGATAAGAAAGGACAGAGGGAGATGGAACAAAAACAGCAAGGGCAGGAGATGATGAGGAAAGACAGGTTGAATGAGTGAAGACTGAACCACAAAACTGAAAAACTTTCGGTTTTGTTGCTTCAGTCTTTCATCTTACACACATCTAACATAACAGATTTGCTGCTTTAATGGACCAACTCAGAGGCGAAGTCTTTGACATGGAAAACTTACTGTTGCAAACCATCTTGACATTGCTGATCCTCGAGGGAATGGAGAAACCTGGAAAATCACAATGGGCACCAAAGTCATTCATTCATTTTCCGTAACCACTTACCCTGTTAGGGGTCGTGCAGGGGCTGGAGCCTGTTCCAGCTGACATTAAGCAAGGGGCGGGGTACACCTTGGACAGGTCGCCAGACTATCACAGGGCCGATTGTAGGAGGAAGCTGGAGTACTCAGAAAAAAACCCATGCTGACACAGGGAGAGCATACAAACCCCCCACCCGAGGTTTTAACCAGGAACCCTCTTGCTGTGAGGTGACAATAATCACTGCACCACTGTGCTGCCACCGAAGTCATACACTTTCAAATTTGGCTGCACCTATTGACAGCACCCCTAAAAAAGAGCAACTACCACAGCAAACAATGCTTGTGCACACCTCACAGCTTTTACATATGTCTGCACATTAATCAGCTCATGAGTGAAGGAGGAAGAAGGAGCTTGTACCCTCAGTTTTCATTCACAAATTGAGGGAACTAATATTCCAATGTTATTCCAAGGACGACAATTTTCCAACTTTGATAGGAGTCCTGCAAACACCATATTCCATTTTATATTCTGTATTAGCTCTTATTCCAAATGTAGCATTTTCTGGTCGAGACATGTTGGATATCTTACTATTTCTTACTATATAATGACGAAAACTCTGTGTGTGTGTCTGTTCCACGTTTTTCTCCTCACTGATTTGGTAAATCCATGTGAAATTTGGCACAGTGGTAGAGGGTCATGGGAGGATGCCAATGAAGCAATATTACATCAATTGGCCAAAGGGGGGCGCTATAGCAACCAATTGAAATTGCAAACATTGAATGGGCATATCTCATGCCCTGTATGTCGTAGAGACATGAAACTTTGCACAGAGATGCCTCTCCTCATGAGGAACACATTTGCCTCAAGAACCCATAACTTCCGGTTATATAGATTTTCTGCCATTTTGAATTTTTTGAAAACCACTTAAAATTGATCTCTTCCTAGGAAGTTTGTGCCCTGGAAATCCAGAGTTCTCACGAGAGAACAATTTGAATTTGCTCAACGAGTCACTCTGGCAATCAGTAATGATGCTCATTATCTATGCCAATGAAACCGAGCTGCACCAATCACATCGGTGTATCTGATATAGGTGGGCCAGAGGCGAGCTAAACAGATGACGACAGCGCTGTGACGACAAAGTCCGGAATCAGTCAGTAAACATTGCAAGATGGCTACGGTTGAACACCAGTTGTTTGAAACGGCTTTGGCTGCTACAATGAACGAGTTAGACTTGGCTTTTTCTCTAAAAGAGGAACAGAAGAAGGCGCTCGAGTCTTTCCTTTGGAAGAAGGACGTTTTTGCTGTTTTGCCGACTGGATACGGCAAGAGTCTAATCTACCAGTTAGCTCTGCTGGTAGCTAAGCGTATACGTCACCCTGTGTATTGTTCTGATTGGTCGTATTGTTATCCAATTGTGTGCAGTGATATTTTCAAATGCATGCTTGGTGCCGCCCCTCGAGTTGGGCCATTTGCATTACTCATAGCCAGACCCTAAATCTTTTTAGATTTGGGTCTGGATTTCCAGGCTAGGAAGTTTGACTGATCTACATGAAACTGGGTGAACATAATCTAGGGACCAATATCTAAAGTTCCCTCTTGGCAAAAGTTGGAAAACTTACTAAAACTGAGCTTCTATAAGGCAATGAATATTGTGGAGGGCCTGGCTCATCACATAAAGGTGTATAACATCTCAAGGGTTTCACCCATCACCACGCAACTTTGTAGGCATATGACCACACATAATCTGAGGGGACTCCTCCATTATTGACCCCATCAAACAAAATGGGGGCGCTAGAGAGCTCATTTCTTACCTAGGCCTAACCGCCATATTGATTTTTACTAAACTTGGTAGATATGTAGAACAGGACGCCTCAAGGTGACTGGAGAAATTTAACTCTAATTGGCAACTGGGTGGCGCTATAACAACAGAAAAATGCTTAAAAATGGCTAAAATGCAACTGACCACTGTAAAACTCTTGATTCTCTGCATCTGAGGATGCTTACAGACTAAAGGTCTATGAATAACTTACAGGGTACTCAAGGAATGGACACATAATTTGAGGTAGTCAACAACCAAGAACTTGTATAAAAAAATAAAAAATAAATAACTGTTTGGCAACCAGACCAGGCCTCTAATTGAGACAGGCCTTTATTTGTCAAAATGTGTAGCCACCTCGAGTTAGTAAAAAGGACTCAGAATATTGAAGTATTAGTTTTCATTAGTCACACAAACAGCTTGGAACGGACATTGTCTCTTTTGAAATAAGGGAAAAAAACTGGAGTATTTTGTGCTTGTACACGTAATCTGCGAGGAAAAGAAAGGAATAAATTAGTAATTATGATAAAGACAGAGAAATAAGTAGGAAAGAAGTGAGGAGAGGAACATAAGAGGAAGTGGGAGTGAGGCAGTCTAATCCACAGTTTACATCAAGGAGAAGAGGGATGACCCGTCCAAGGCCAAACTCCATGCTGCCTACTTTAAACAGTTTACACTGGGCATCCCAAACACACACACACACACACATCCACACACACACACATGCATGAGTGGACTTCCTTCATAAAACTCACATACACACACACTGGGAAACACACACACACACACACACACACATTCACAGACTTGTACAATGATCTCAGCGATGCATGCAGAAATTCACTGTAAAAATGACTCACATAGCACCTTATGGCAAATCTGTTAGTCTGCTTCACTTCCTCTTTCTGGTCCCTCTAGTGGTGAGTTGTAAAACTGCAGCATGCACATGGTGAAGCACTTTATGTCTGTGGGTGGAGTCGGGGGCTGTTATGGAACACGTTAGGGGAGGCTCATGATTAAATAAACAGAGAGAAAGAGACAAGTTCAGGGTCAGAGAAAAAGAAATGTGCAACTCTGCTCACCCTCTGTCATTCCAGTTACAACAAACCACCATTTTCCATTTTGAAATCAATAAATAAATATGGTCAGTTCTCCATTATCTTGACTGATTCTTCCTGTCTCTGTTCACGCCTCAGCCCCACTCTTTGTCAAACAACTGGCTTTCAAATAATACTGAGGAAGGTTCAGGGCATGTGCCATTTGCTGTGGGTATGTCTGTGGATGAGGGTTTATTTTACAGCTGTTCCACACTCTTACCATAAAGCCACAGCGGATACAGCAGCCTAGGTGGGGCCACCGCCTTCCATTTATTTTCAATGAGGTGCAGCAAGTCACTTATGCTGAGAACAAGAGGGCCTGCGTTGGCACGATTAAAGCAGGGCCTGAGCATGGTGCCGCTGTCCATCCATGTGTCCAGCACTTTGCTCCAGAGAACTTAAGATATCTCACATCTTCTTGTCTACAGCTACGTCAGAAAGCACTGTGACCAAATTTAAATCACATTATTTCCATGCAGCTGTTTGTTTAGTTTGCAGAGGGGCATATTTTCGTCACCACAGGGGCGAAATAATGACTGGTATTGTGTTTAAATATTAAGTTTATTTGCAAGCAATAAAAATATAATACTTTACAAACCAGCATCATTACCCCCCCCACCCCACCAAGGAGGCTTGTTTGTGTGTCAGCAGGATTTTAGAAAAACTACTGGCCGGATTTTTGTGAAACTTGGTGGAAGGGTGTAGCATGAGCCACCCATTGAATGCTGGAGCAGCTCAGAGTCACAAATTATTTGTCGCTGTCATAACATAACATTGAGAAATAGGGCAATTGTCCTTGGCGGAGGCCTCCTAGTTATAGAACAAATAACAAAAACATAACATCACACCACATTTAAGAAATAAATAAAACATGTCATTCGTCTGAAAAGCATCTCCAACTGACAAGACAAACATTTTTCTGTCATTTGATATTAATCTTTTAAATAAATGAGCACACTAAAAAAACTGCTTTCAAAGAACGCTGTTGACACATGACACGTTGGTAATACTGTGCCGAGATTGTGTAATAATGTGACTCTAATTCAATTTAACTCGGCTGAAATGAGACCAGAGAGCAGAGATTGATCTGCAAGAGAGAGTTTCTATCTTTGTGAGAAGTAATAAAAGATTTACTCCCTCAGAACGAGGGTATTTTTGAACATCAGGAACATTTTGCCCATTCTTCATTTATGCAAGAGTCTATTTTAAGCCATTAGTTAATGAGTTTCTGCAAAAATATAATTAAGCAAATCTGCGTCTGTGCTTCAGTGTGAGACTTATGGCCGATGATGACGCAAGTTGGAGGAATTCATTAATAAACTTCAAACTAATTTTACCAATGCTTCAATAAATTTACTCCTTATTCAAACTCTGTGTTGAACACCGTCACAAAGTAAAATTAACAAAGAAAGACAAAGATCAACAACATAACGACCAAAAAAACAGTAAAACAAGAATGCCCAAAAGTGGAATAGCAACTTTAACTATAAAAACAATCAACAGCAATGGTTTAAAGTGATTGTGTGCCACTGTGGAATTTGCTAGAGGTGACAATAACAAGAAAGGCGTTCACTATGAAGCGTTTACTGTCGTTTCCCATTCTCTTTCCTACCATAAGGTTTAATAGTCAGACTGTCTGTAGCAGGGTAACAGCTCAAAATGAAGAAAAGGAAGATTACATGCAGTGGATGAAGCGTAACGGGTGTATCTGCGTGGCTTCAAGTCTTCAAAGGTTAAGGCTCTAGGGTCAGGGGTCAAGTTTACAGTCTGTCTATACATGCATTTAATATTTCTCATTAATAAAGCAGAGCTGTCTGATGGATATGTGCTGGTAAATGATCAGAAGTGACCATAGAGGCTAGTCTGAAAACACTACAATCTTCCTTAAAGGGACAGTTCACCCCAAAACCAAAAATACATATTTTTCCTCTTACCTTTAGGGCTATTTTTCAGTCTAGATGGTTTTGGTGTGAGTTGCCAAGTGTTGGAGATATCAGCCGTAGAGATGTCTGCCTTCTCTCAAATACAATGGAATTAGATATTTGAAAAATTCAACATCAATGTCTCTTTCCAGAAATCATGACCCAGTTACTCAAGAGGATCCAAAGACCTTGTTGTGAGCAGTTTCATGAAGGAACTATTTGCTTTATACTGAGATACACCTGCCAACTGTAGGAGTGTGCAGAAGGAAGCGTGTTTCTACTCGTGAATATTTGCCTCTTTTACACTGCCTCTTAAAAGTGGGAATTTCATGCTGTTATCCAGCCTATCTGTTTTGTAGAAAAGGTACATTCACGGGGCGTCCGTAGCGTAGTCGATAGTGCCAGCGCCTCATGTATAAAGGCTGCAGCGGTCACAGGTTCAACTCTGGCTTGCAACCATATCTGCATGTCAACCGCCAGTTCTCTCTCTCATCCCATTTCACTCTGTCCTGTACAATGAAGGCAAAAAAGCCCGAAAAAATAATCTTTAAAAAAAAAAAAAAAGGTACATTCACAAAACAGGGGGACGAAAGACAGACTTGTCTCGCCTTTGAGCTGACAGTGGAGGTAGTAACCACAGCATAAAATGAGAAGAGACAGCCAAGATGGACGCGTAATGACCCTTCGATCTGGATCGATATATTGATTCAATGATCATCGATGCAAAATGAGAACCTCGAGAACTATACGCTTTTATTTTGAAAGTCTATGTCACCATCAAACAGCGGCAGGCAGATGGCAAGCAGCCGAGAGAGACGATAAAGACAACATTATTTACTCTGGAATAAATCAGCAGAATGGAAATATTTAAGATTTTTGGTAAAACTACAAGTCAACAGACAAAGCACATGGTGTATGTAAACAATGCTGTTATGAGATTAAACACGACATAATGTTACCCACCTTGCCGGGCATCTCAGTCCGCTAACGTCTCACTATGCAGAATGTTCGGCTAAAAAAAACATGCGTACAGGTTAAAATTCAACCATGCTGTTCTGTCGGGAGATGCAGTGACTTTTACTGACAGTGAGCTGTGAGTAGAGGGAAAAAAGTCTGCTAGCTGCTAGGCTAATTTATGCAGTGTTAACATGCTTGAGCAAATGAACCTAAACAGTTATAAACGAACTGCATTTGATACTTTTGTTAAATGATGTTGTAAATCCGTGTTTTATGGCTGTTAGGAGAAGTTTGCCTTTGGGATTTTAAGCCCGATAAGCCCTGAAATTTTAGGAAAAAGATGATGGTTTGCATTAAAATGAAAGGATTTCTTCCATACAAGACTTTCTGACAGAAAGGGGTGGCAGCTTCTTCTCTAACTGACTGTGTTATTTAGGCATACATTATCGTCTCATATCAACCACAGGCCCTTCAATCGCATCGAAATCCTATCATGGCAGACTCTGTCATATCGGCAAATATTGTATCGTACTTAAGATGATCCACAGATCTTGATGTGAGCAGTTTCATGTAGGAACTGTTTTCTTTCTACCAAACTGCACCCACCAACCACATCACCACACGGGATGCAGCTGAGTGCCATCTAGTTCCATTATATTGGAGACAAGGTGGACATCTCTATGTTCAATTTCTCCACCAAAACAATCTAGACTGATAAACAGCACTACAGGTAAAAGGAAAAATATGTATTTCTGAATTTGAGGTGAACTGTTCCTTTAAAAACAATTCCTTAACTAAATAAGTAAGCAATGTGAACATTACTAAAATATGGCAGAAGTCAGTGGGTTTTGTTTTTGCACAGGGACAAACATTTTTGTAAAAGTTCCCAGTTTAGCAGTCAGCCTCAGTTTCAGCATTCGTGCTTAGCGTGCTTTGATGCATCCGCTCCAGTATCCGATGTATACTACTGAAGCTGGGCCTATCTGATGGGTGTGTGCTCCAACAAAGCCTCATCAGATTGTACAGCTCCAGAGGACAGTTCTCAGGACAGGAGAGGATCTGACCATCCCTCACATAGTAAATAACCTCCTCGTGACCCATACCGTAGTATGGCTGCATCCCGTGGGAGAAAATCTCCCACAACACCACGCCATATGCCCACACGTCCGATTCAGTGGTGTAGCGGTTATAGAAAATGGACTCTGGGGGCATCCAGCGAATGGGGATGGCGTCGTTCTCGTTGGCTTTGTAGTAATCGGCTGAGTAGATGTTTCTGGAGAGGCCGAAGTCTGCGATCTTCACCACCATCTCCTCCCCGACCAGGCAGTTCCGGGTTGCGAGGTCACGGTGGACGAACTTGCGCTCCGACAGGTAGGCCATCCCTGCGGCGATCTGCTTGGAGACTGACAGCTGCTCAGCACAGCAGAGAATCCTCGCCTCCAGCTCAGAGGAAAAACTGCGACCCGACAGGCTGGCGCGGCTGAGGGTGCGGACGGACTGGTTTGGAGATCGGCGGCGCAGGAACTCATTGAGGTCACCGTGGGCCATGTACTCTAACATCAGACACATGGGTTTACCCACTGCACACACACCTGGGGAAGAGAGCATACAGATGATTTTATTTCATGCTATCTGACATGCAGATTTATCGAGTAGGCTTTTCATGTTTCCCCCTCAGAGGTCTGAGAACAAATACATGCTCAACCACGTAAACACATCGGTGACATCATCAAACGCCGCTGAATCAAGTGTGCTCATTCCTCTACAGTATCACACAATGAATTTATTCACTGTAAAAGGTAAATAAATACTCAGCCTAGACATAAACACAGACGAAACCATCTGTGATGTGTGTGTGCACGCTCATAAATACACTCTCATGCACAGTGGATGCACAGTCTTACATTAGCAGCCCTGTCATGTAAACATAGTGCGCTTTTAAACTAACCCTGTGATCGTCTGAGCCTGTCTGTGCTGCGGGGAAACACGGGCAATTTGAAGAGAGTTTCTAAAATTGGTAGTGGTGTGATTGTGGCGGAATCTCAGATGTGATTAAGGTGTTTGTATTTGGCAGCGAGGCTTTCCACAACTGAACCTGTTTGCATTCTTGATGTGGAAAGCAAGTGTTTGATGTAGTATGAAAAGCATTCAAGGACAAGAGTGCATGATAACACATTGGAGAATATTCTAGCATGGGCAAAGGTCTGCGCTCATCAAATTCATTTCACTTATTTGCTTTACCTCCTATAAAAGAGTGGCTGTTTGCTTGTTTATGCATTCCTGTAAACATTTCTTGCAGCGTGCACTGCTTAGAGGAATTAGAGCGCACACTGTTAAGACTGTGCAGAGCCTCAGCAGCCCTGCAGAAGTTGTACTTGTGCCATCCATGTGACCTGCCAGTCACAACACCGACTTCACATTCTGAGTGCTTTATGGCTCTGCCGAAAAAATCATAACAAATCACCAGGATACCCAACAAGAAAAGAAATACCCCCCTCGTGTCAGACAGTGGTTGCAGTTTCTGGTTTTATAGCCAAGTTTAGTTTGAGGCCTTGCAGATCTCGTCTGTGTTGTTTCCAAGTAGCCCGTGATGAGTGCACTTTATGTGGTCACTGCACTGAAATGCACTGAGTCATATTAGCCACAATCATAATTTTGATTTAGTGCACTTCACTTAGCTGCTTCTGTTTCTGTGTGAAATATGAATTGGAGTCTCGTTGACCTGCCAGCAGCCCAGTCATTTTGAACTCTTTTAAACCCACAGAACAAAACAAAGTTCCTCAAAGTACCAAATATGTCAGGCTGAATTTCAGGCAAATGTATAGTATAATGCAGAATGCAGAATATTTCATGGGATAGTGAAGCCATTAAAAACAAGGAGTCTTTGTGTAAGCATGGTAAAGCTTCAACAAACAGCTGCCAAGTGTCATCCGACGTGTTGCTGATGTGTCATTTATCAGCTGGATGGTCCCTCCTCCAGAGACCATCCAACAGCGGGGGGTGTGGCTGGCCCAACAGATTCCGATAGGTCTGTTGGATGACACTTCTGAGGAAGACTAGAGTCACAGTCGAAAGTGTCAAGCAGGTAAAAGAAACATCTCCTACACTTTTTGTCTGAGGATAAGAAAATATTGAACAATTTTAAAAAGAAGACAAAATGAACCTAATCAATACACTACATAGTCTCTTCCAAATTGACTTTTTTTTTTTCCTTCAACAGCAAACATTCGTGGTTGGGTTTAAGCAACAAAAACACATGGTTAGGTTTAGGAAAAAAGAATAGGATTTGTTTACAATCTTACAGGACATGAACACCACTCTCCTGGGTGAAAGTCCTGTTTGTTGGACCCATCCACCACCGCTTCCACCCACCCTACCTGGACTTTCGCTGCTTTAAAGGCGCTGTATGTAAGAATGTGGCCAAAACGGTTACTGCACTCAAATTCAAAATACTGCCACAAGTCGTGTCCGCCCCCCTCTCCCCTACAGATTCGGGGTTTCTGAACAGTGGCACGCTGGAGACTGATTTGTTTGCCCACTGGCGGCTGCCGTGGCAGGGCCGCGTCGCTGCGTCCTTGATCTTCGGTTTTCCAGCTGACCGTTCAAGCAAGTCTGGCTTCTCTGCTGCTAACGCTGCTGCCGGGATACAGCTGAGGAGGAACCGGCTGCTAATGCTATGTACCGGGACACTGCTAATGCTGCTGCCAGGACACAGTGGAGGAGGAGCCGGCTGCTAATGCTATGTACTGGGACACTGCCGTGCTGCTGTAGCTCAGTCGTAACTGTAACTGATGCTGAGACTCTACTGACTGTGTGACTGGTAGACGGCGGTGGGTGGCGCAACAGGCCAAAACACAAATTCAAAACATAAACATGATTTGCGGACCGTAATTTTTTTTTTTTTAATGCGAATATTCTGGCTGTACTATTGTTGTCGGTGAGATCAGTATGTTATATGAACATTATTCCTTCGTCTCTGTGACATATTAGGAGGATTTTACGACTATTTGCTTTAGATTTCTTACATATAGCTCCTTTAACTTACGTACTTGTCCTGCTGTGTTTCCCCCGGATGCTGCCAGCTGCTGTGGAAGTATAACGGCGACCAGCCATGTATCATGCCAGCATTAAATTACAGCTTTTTTTTGTCAGTGTCTGGCGCCAGAAGTCACGTCCCAAGCACCAGATTTTAAAGACGTCAGATTGAGACCGGGTTGGCAATGTAAAGACTTGGGGCATTTTTGCTCTGTCAACGTATATTCACCTTCTTGTTTTTGTCACTGACAGGCTTGCATTATAATTTTAAGAGTCTGAAAATATAATGCAAAGGATCCCTACAGAGAAGGACCTTTTGTTGAAGAGTAAGATTCTTTATATTTAACCAGAAACAGCTCTGAAATCGCAATCAGCAAACCCACCAGATTCCATTCAAATAAATGGTAATTTTAGCATGTATAGAGCCAGTATATTTTCACATCTAACTGGGTGAATTAAGGGTTTATTTCAACCAAACCAGAGTTAGTGATGGAACAGTGAAAAGACGACCCAAGACAGTTTTTGTGGGATTTATTTCATGTCTGTCGACTTTGAAGTTGTGTGTTTTTACAAAGATAAAATCATTCTTTATCGAAATGGAGTCTGGTGTGTATTGTCATGGCAATTTCTGGGCTGTTTCTGGTTAAACAAAAAAGATCTTACTCTTTAACAAAAAAGTATATCTCTGTAGGGATCCTTTCCATAATATCAAACACTTTTTATTAACAATTTGAGCACATCAATGGCAAAAACAAGCACTTTTAATGGATGTACACTAACACGCACAATTGCCAATTAACGTTACTTTGCAGCCTGTTTCCTTACTGCTAGCTGCATGGCTTAACTCAATACTGGACCAATTTAAAAAAAAATGCTGTCTCCATTAGTCACTTAGACACAAAAGCATGGAAGTGTTTAGGAAAATTCAGGGTGCCATGTCAAACAAACACACAGAACTGGAATGTGGGTGTTTTTTCTTAACTGTTTTGTTTTGCCTGTTATGTCCAACTCCGTACTAGAGCCGTAACAACAAGATGCTCAAATGGAACTTTTGGCAAGAAGAGAAGGAAGTTTGGAGGTCATGCTCAGTAAGTTCATGTCCTGTGGGTCACAGAGTGGGACAGCTCCCCAGAGACAGAGCTCTGATCACTGCTCCCTGGGGTGGTGGTGGTGGAGGGGAGGAAGGGATTGGGGGGGTGACTGCCCACAAACAGGACTGTAATTCAACAGTAGCAACCTCAACTGAAGGTCAGTAGCTGGATCGAAATGTTTCCCTCCATTGCTAAATATACAGAACACAGAGGCCCCGTCCTGCACATGTGACAGTTTAATGACATGCAAACATATGGCATCTCTAATTCTGACACATGCACGTCATGGATTGGTGCCTGTATTTTTACACATGATTTGCGGTGTATTATTAGTCCGGTGGGTAATTAGAGGTTAACCAAATAATTCAATCAACTCTGGTTTCATGTGCACCAGAGACCTCAGCGTTAGTGTGTCACTCTCCAGTTGACTCACTCAAAAACAGAAAACACATGATACTGTCATTTGATACACTTCTGAAAAAACCCTCTTTGAATGATGAATGTTGATTCAAAAATATTACACAGCTGTAAACTGGACCAAAGTAAACAAAGTTCCCTCAGTGCAGCCAATGACCAACAGCCCTGTTTACTCACCGACAGCGCCAAATAGAGAATGTTGTATCTCTAAATGTCTTCCTGGAAGTATTTGGATGCTAGCAGTTTGTATTAGATTAGATAGGCTGCATTAGTGTAGATAAACTTTAATAGAAGACATTTGTTTTGCTTGGGCCAACAAAACCATTGGTTGTCAAGCTGCACTTGTAAACTGGCAAACAGTCGGCTCTGTATCTGAAGCGGTTTCATAGCGCTGCAGTGAAATAGATCTGAGGGATAAGGCTTCATTCACATGATTAGTTCAGTTTCTCACAAACAGCTTTTGGTTAATTTTGCATGAGATAGTCCTCGTTAAGATCATGCTTCGTCACTTTTAAGGGTATTTACCTGCTTAAATGCCCTGTGACTAAATATGTGTGGGTGAAAAGTAAAGCAGCAACTGAAATCCAGATTTGAGACAAGATCTAATTTCTGAAACACTGCCACACTATCTCGAGTCTACTCAGTTTAATGCACTGAGAAATAAAACTGCCAAAAGCAAGTTGGCAATCTGTATTTATTGCTTTTAGATAAGTAAATTAAACCCAATATTTCCACATAGTCTTAGGAGGAAATAGATTTTATGTTGCTTTGAGATTACCTAACTCTGTTTGACGCATCTTAGTTGGAAGTAGGGCACCTGAAATTGATTCTTGTCTATTCCTTTGGCTCCTTGGGTGCACCTCATGCTCAGTTAAGTCAAGAGCCAATCACAGTGTGGGCATAACGTGCTCCATCTGATGGCGCAGCAACACAGGTGACACGGATGATTGCTTGATTACTGGATGGTGCAGTTATCCAACAGGATGCCTGTATGTGTTGACTGAAAAGGTATTAAAGTGCCTCTGGAGCATGAGTTCTGTTTGGCTCTGGAGCATGAGTTCTGTTTGGCTCCTGATGAAGATATGAGCTGGAACATGAGCTCGGCTTTGGTTCATGAAAAATGCTGCTTGAGTACTGAAGATTTCAAAAAGAGCAACTCCTTCAAAACCTAATTTTTTGCCCCTGAAGTAGGAACCAAGTGTTTTAGTTGACGCACCTTCACCATTCTCACCTGCAGACTAAGTTTACAATCCTTCTCCAAATATACCCTGAAGGTTGCCTGAGTGAAACTACAAAACTTGGCCATGCATTTAGGAAAACTAAATAAAAATACAACAGAAGAAATTCACAAATCTGTTTGAAACTGTTCAAATCGCAAAAATGATCAGGGAACAAGTCAAGCAAGAACAGCAGTCCACTGATACAGAACTGCACCACATGTCATGTCGTTGGACTCATGAGTATTCTAATTGGTGCAGCAGAACCAGAGATATCATCTTTTTGCCTTCCTTGTCAAAACCTGGCACTCACATTACCAGCAAGATGCACAATGACTTCAATTGAAATCAGTTTTGCAGATTTCGTGCAGCTCCTTCTGGAGCCACAAAATGCTTTATACAACTATTTTCACATGTGCTGCAATTTCCCAGACTTTGACGAGTGAAATCACTGTTCCTCTTTAACTATATGCACCTATTGTGATCTGGTTAGAGGCCTCAAGTTGATGAGTCAGCAATTAGTTAAAGTGGGAATTATACTTCTACATTGAATTGATGCGGTACCTACAGCATATGTTGTGCGTCTATGTAGAGCCTACGCCATAGCCTGACGTGCACCTCCACAGAAATGTATCTACATGTCACAGCTATGCAGACCTCCTGGCTATTTCTGTAAGCTGAAACTTTTTCCCTCAGTGGAAACAAAGCTTTGATTTACTTTAATTTCACAGATAAGAAACAATAAATTGTGTAGACAATAAAGCCTCCACAAAAATAGCATTTTAAGTCTTGTGTGTGATTTATCCTGGCTTCATATGAGCAGAGGAAATCTCCGCTAGTCGCTAGGCTAATTTATACAATGTAAAATGCCATAGGCTTGTGCTAATAACGTTAGCATGTTATATTTGTTTGTAAAACTTGTTTAGTATAAGACAGTTGTTTTGTCTGTGAACCTTGTGAGTTGTAATGGAGCCAAATTTTGTAACGTTACCTTTGTTAAATGTTGCTGTTGTCCCTGGCTTCATATGAGTAGAGGAAAAGTCCGCTAGCCCCTAAGCTAATTTATACAATGTAAAATGCCATAGGCTTGTGCTAAAAACATTAGCATGTTGTATTTGTGGGGAAAATGTGTCCAGATAAAGACAAGTGTTTGTCTGTGAATGCTGTGAGTTATAGAGAAGCTGATTTGTGTACTTGTGTTTGAAATTGTCTCCATTAAGCCATGTTTAATGTGTGTTTAATGTGTGTTTTGAATCATCTAAACTTCACAGCACTTCACAGAAACCCCACAGTAGACTAGTGGTTTGAAGGTGTAACTGCAGAATGACACAGACACACCACCGCACAATTATAAACGCTCACAGTGGCGTAGGCCATGTTGAAGGGCTACAGCATAAGCTCTGCATAGAGCTGACCCACAAGTATAAATCTGCCTTAATGGTGCTGACAGTATGAACAGTGCTAATGCCTGTTTCATGCTTCTTGCCGTCAGCGTGGTTTGGATGGTCACACAATGTATTAGATCTCGAAGTTTGCTGATTTAAAGTGCAACAGACTCCTCTTGTCCACCGCACATGACCTCTCTCTTTCTTTCTGTGTATCTGTTTTTGCACTCTCCTCGAGCAACCACGCTGATCCAGCAACTGTAGAATGTAAAATTCAGCTGTGAACGCAGCCTTCGTGGGAAATCTTTGCCTTCACACACACACAAACAAACATGCAAACACACTAACCTAGGAGCCGCACAATGTTTGGGTGGTCAAACTGAGCCATCAGCGCTGCCTCTCTCTGGAAGTCATTCTGCATGTCAGCTGAGGCTTCCTCCTTCAGCATCTTCACAGCCACCATCGTGAAGGACTCCATTGGCAGCAGGCCAGGTGCTCTGCAGCAAACAAATATATTAAAACACAGACATGTGCAGCTACGCTAGCCCTGTAGAAAAGAAGAGATTTAAGAGTTGCAGTTTGTGCCAAGAGCTTCTTAAGTAGCGTCCAGCATGTGCAGGGAAAACAGTCAAAAATATATAAATGCACAATGCTGGGAATTTTATTTTTGCGGGTTCTCTCGATTAATGCGTCCACCAGATTTCTGCAACCATGTGTTTTGTATGCGTCTTTTAAGTCTGCTAACAAGCAGCCTGGCAAAACAGCTCAGCTTTATTACTGGAGCGCTCTGTAAATGTCAGTCACTTGGAGAGGAACACACATATACATACACACACTTCCTGTGTTGGCTAACCAGAGGGCCAAGCTAAAGTCAACATGTTTTTTCTCAGTGTAGATTTATATATAGTTTACACACACACACACATATGGAAACACTCACTCACGAACACACAGATACATTCACATACACTTTGAGAAAGTACTGATTGAAGCATATCTGTCAGGGGAGATATTCTTCGAGTCTATTTAGGTCTCTGCGTATGTTTTGTGTGTGTGTGTGTGTGTGTGTGTGTGTGTGTATGTATTTGTTTATGTAAGCATGAATATACATTACCAAAGGCATGTGTTGCCTGTGTTTTAATGTGACATTTTATCTCTATTCTTGAGTGCAAGTGTACAGGATATAGTCTGTATTTGTATTTATATCTTGCCTGTTTCTGGTCATGCATGCAGGTATGAGTGTATGTGTGTCAAACAAGTTTCTCAGAGTCAGGATGTGGCTAAAAAGTGAAGACACTTTGGTCAGGAGGTGTTAAAGGGCCAAAGTTAAGGTTAAATAAGGTTTGTAGGTGAAGGTTGGGCATCTGGTTTTCATAGTTAAGATTACAGGTGTTGATTAAAGAATACACTACACCAGCGCCCTTACATGTATGCTCACACAAATGTGTGTGTATGAGAGTGTGTATTAGTTTCTCAGGGGTGTCCATGTACTGCGCCATTCCAGTTTTCATTAAGGGATTACCTGCTTGCCTGAAGGACGTCTCACAGATCTGCACGGCTACATGCAAGTGCTACTGTGAAAGTGCCATTAACTAGATCTCCACACACTGACATTAAAGCTCTGCGTGGTGTCTGTGCAACATCACGGACAGAAGGTCAGAGTGGTCGATTGCAGTTTATGGCATAATGGATGATAAATGTGCTGCTGTATTGCAATTTTGCAACAGTCTAGTATCCAGAACACCAGAGCTTTAGCAATAAAAATGCCGAACATTTCATTCTCGACACAACTATTTCTGATGTTTTTCATGTGAACGACCAAACGCAACACTATCACTGTCTCCGAGACTGAAAATACGGGCCGTTATCCCTTGAGAGCGATGGGTGAAAATGAACAAATCTTTTTGGTGTCCTGTCTGTCAGCCTGTTGAACGAGTGTGCATGAGTCCATGACTTTTCCCAATCGCAGTTATCATTAGGTACTGCTAACGCGGAACAAGAGGCAATTAAATCGTAGTTGAGTTGACCCAAGGCCTATGGTGCTTTCAGGTGCTCTTTGGATGATCATTCTTCCAACTTTTGTGTGTTCATGAGCTTTTAGTTGTGATACTGAAACAACATGGATGCTACAAAGAAGACATGTTGTGTTTTATTGCTCAGAGTATTTAAACAACACATTGGTAACAAAGAGCTAAGTAAATGGATCAGGTGAGCCATGAAATATGATCAAGAACTAATTTTTTTTATATTCTGACACCACGTGAATGCAGAACAAGGCTGCAAAGCAGGGGTGTAAATAGACATTGCAGGCAGTGCAGTTGCACTGGGGCCCATGGGACGAGGGAGCCCATGGGATGAGCAGGCCCTACAACAGCATGTAGGCCAGAGAACATCGGAAATACAACCATGTTCAAAGAAGAACTCATGTTGAATTAAAAAACTGAAGCAATCTATTCTACGACAAAATTTTTTAAAACTACCATACGCCACTGCTGCACAGGTAACTGGGACGTCTACTACTCGCCCCTCAAAGAACTACGGATTATGGACAGTGACATTTATGTGACATCATACTGACAGTGCTTAATTTGAGCCGGAACGTACTGGAACGCATACCAGGATCTTTTCAGAAAAGGCCCTGGTGCGTTCCGGAACTAATTTGCATGGTTCTAGAACTTTTCACATCTAAAAACTACATACAGTATTGGCTGATGTCACTAGTGTTGCAGGGTGGAGTACCGTAGTACTACGGTGCCTCATTTACCACTACTGTGGGATAAGTTCAATGTCCAATCGCAAGAGGGTGAGTGTCCATGCGCTGTCCAATAATGGCGCGCGCTGGCCACCTGGCACTCAATATGCTGCTGTAGTTTGTTTGTTTTCCAGACATGTGAGTATCTTTGAGCAGTGAAAGTTATTATTTTTTCCTTTTTACTTGTCGGCAGTGATTTGTTTTCCACAGAGCTATACGTGCGAGCATTTTACTCGCATTTGCGACTAAAAATAGTTTTGTGCGAGCAAAATAAATCATTCAGCACGCTGTGCCAGTACAGATTTCAACCAGCAGCAGAAACGAAAGGTGAATCCTGCCGGTTGTGGGTTGAACGGGGGTCACAGACAGGAATACAGCGGTCAAATAGCCTACAGCGGCTCCACGGCGCAAGATAACGGCTTACCGGCAACAGAGAAGTCCGACTCCAGGTCCAGTAGCCTAATTTCCTCTTTCGTTGGCATCATGACTGCCCAGTAGTACCTGGACAACCGAGCCGTGGCGGCACACAGGTATGTGGCGTGTCAGAGGAGAAACAAGCCGTTCACATTTCTCTCTTTGTGGCAGGTAACGGTCCACAAACCTCACCGCACTTTAGGGACTGTTCTTTACTTATGGAGGGACTGTTCTTTACTTGTCAGGGGAGGAGGGTGGCTGGTTGATTTTTATTTTATTAATTTATTTTATTTCGATTTCCCCTATGTTAATCACTTATTGATGCTGTTTTTGAAGTATGAATAAGTCAATAAGTAATTTATTCCATTGAAATATCATTGATGTATTATAGAAAAGTGATTTATTTTTTTATAAATGACAAAAGGCACATCTGCCTCATTTTTGCTGTGGTATCGTGATACTACTCAGAACCGTGATACTTTCACTGGTATCGTACCATGGGTTCCAATTTTGGTACCGTGACAACACTAGATGTCACAACCATTCCATTCGGAGTTTTGCAGTGAGGCGGCTCGGATGCCCACTTTTGGGAGTGGGGGAACGCTGCTCTCTCAGAGGCCAAAAGTGTTCCCCTACTTCTAATTTTACAAATTAAGCACTGCATACTGACCTTGTATATCCTACCTACACACTTCAGTCAACATGTAGAAGGTCAAGATGGAGTCAACATGAGTGCACTGGAGAGAAGTTCTGTGGGGTGAGCAGCACTGCACTGACTGTCAAAGGTGCATGTACACATGCCGCGTTTTTTTGCACCATCAAATTCATTGTTTTCATTGTAGATGCGCTGCAGGTGCTCAGTCGCCAGAGAGATGCCACTGTGGCTCGCACCCGTTCCCGAGTGCTTTCCCAAGTGTTTAGGCCCTGATGACTGTTCTCTGAGTTAAACAGAGTTCAACTTTTGAAATGCAGCAGCACACACGGCATGGCATGTGACAAGGACCAACCAATCACAGCTGACGGATATCTTTGTCTTCTTCCATAAATACCAGTCTATTGAACTCAAGGTTCAATACATATCAGTGTATCAACTCGAAGGAACCAATGCTGTGTCTGATTCCTATATCTAAATTATATTGCATCCATCCACCCTCATGATTTGAAAAACTTTCATCACTAAATTTTATCTCTTCAGCTGCCATGAATTCTTGTACAAAACATTTTAAGCAATCGCAACGGTTATTAGTCATGTATTTGCTTTCAGTAACTGAGCAATTCAATCTGGAATGTGTTTGGTTGATACTGCACAAGAGTCACTTATGGTGTTTTATTTTCTGCTGTGTCACAACTGAAATATACGGCCGCTGTCTGCATAAATAAGGAAACTACAAACTTCTCACAGACACCTCAAGCCTGAAATATTGTGTTTTACCAGATGACATTTCAAAAATGCAACAACTTGATGACCCAGGTCTGGTATTTAGTCTGATTGAGTCGGATTAGTTTGAGACATTCGTGTCTTGCTGTGAGCAGCGTCAGCGTGGAGTGTAAATGACACCTGTAGCAGCTCCCCTTGTGACTTTGTGAATGACGCAGCAGTTCTCAAAATGAGCAGTGGCCTTGTTTAGCCACCCCACCCCCCCTCTCAAATCCTGCCTCACCCCTTTCTCTTCCTCTGCCTGAGATATATCCGCCTCATCATGTTAGCCCCTGGCAGCGATTATGATGATGACATGGCAATATTTAATATCAGTCTGAGTAATGTAATATTGCAAACGAAAATCCCTTTTTGTCCCCCTCGTTTGGGGGTGGAAGGCTCTTCAACCTCTCCTACTTTCTTCGTATCTTTTCTTCTTATCTCTTTTTATTACTCAATTGGACAGACATACGGTGAGCTATAAAAATCCCTTTTCCCTCAGCTTCATCTCTCCCCTCACCTGGCTTGGAAAACCCGTCCGAAGGCTCCCTCTCCAATATCTCTAACATATTGGATATTATTTCGAGGATACTCCAAGGCCAGCAGCTTTGAGTTGAGCAGCAGAGGAACCCGCTGGTACATGGGGTTCGGGTGGAGGCGATCCAGCAGGAGCTCTGATGGAAGAGCACTTAGCGTTGGCGTCTCCATCGCTCTGTGGAGAGAAAGTGGAGGTGAGGAATCAAAAGGCGGACACAAGGCTAAATATTGAACTGTGCATCTTTATCTGACCTCTTCCGGTTTCTCCACTGCTTCCTGCGTCTGCGGCAGGCCAGGATGCTGATGGTGAGGAAGACTACAGCTGCGAGTGCGGACAGGATGACGATGATGACGGACATGGAGTAGGCTGGAGACGATACTGTGGTCGTGGGAGGGAGACGAGGAGTTTGACGAGGGCCTGGTAACTCTGTCCTCATCACTGGAAGACAAAGAAAATCCAACATGTTCTCACTTCGACCTCGTCACATATCGACATTTGGTCATGGACCTTCCACGTCCGGATACAACGTGCAAGGTACCCTGGGTGTGTTGGTTGCTGACGTTCTGGGAAGCTGCTGAGCGTTGTTAAACTATAACAGCAATCGGCCACATATCATGCCGACTTTTTCGTCAGTGTCTGATGCTGCAAGTGCCCGATTTCGACGGCTTCGGAGTTAGACTGAGTTGAAAAATCATGGCTGTGAATATGCTACCCTGAACCTTGATCCTGAAACCTCCTCTTAATATTTAATGAAAACAGTCTCAATTATTGGTGGGCTAATCTACAGTCACATGCTAGCTGCTAACTGGCGAAACTGCATCCTATACTTTCTCTTCGCTGAATGTTTTTTTGATGACAGAGCCAGGACCTGGAACAGAAAATAGGAGACAAAGAAGACAGTACCTGATGCTAAGCCCATCTCCCCACACTGCGGCACAGTGCAGTACTCCCAGCGTATGTTGGGATTTGAGGTGTAACACCAGGGCTTGTCGCTGATTCCTCCCGGGTTCCTACAGTAGTTGTCTGAGTTCTTCAACTCTGGAATCACGTCTACAGACAAGCGGTGCTGGTGGGGAACCTACAGAGGGAGAGAAACATTGAGAAAATCTTTGACCAGAAGACCTTTTACTTTTTCTTGACAAAGCCTTATAGTATCATGAATAAGTACAACTAGAAACAATGGGAACAAGAAGCCCTTCACTTCATGTCCAGTAAGACGTCTATCATTTCTCTTTCTTCTTCCTACAGTGGTAAAGGGGGGGTCCAGAGGTGTTTCTGGGCAAAGCATTATCTATTCTGTTCTATTGCTGAACTTGTGCACTGCGAGAGGGCATAGAGGAAACAGACTTGTCTTGAGGGATTAGTAAAATCTGATCAGTAAATTTCTTGCTGTAGTTGTTTTCCTTGAATGCTCAAGAGTTGGTCCAGGCCGATTTTCTATGGGCAGTTTTTAACCATAGAAATAGAGTAACAGTAGAACACACATTCCCAGGATGGTGAGAGCAGCAGTTATATGCACCTTTGCCATTGCAACCACTGTAGCAGGTTAAATTACATTTAAACAAACCAACTTGCAGCAAGTAGCGAACTCACCAAGGTGAGGCTTGGCAGTAACAACCAAATGGGCGGTGGAGTAGTACGTTTTCAAGTAAGCAATGCATACTATTAAAATATGACTGTAACTGTTATTTCCCAGATTCTGTTGTCGCCATTACTTGCATGTTTGTTGAGACATGATGTACTGTAGCTGCCTCTAAAGAATGAGGGAGAGCCACTGCTCAGTGGACAACTGAGAGGATGAAACACAGCGGGGATAGACAGAGCACAGATCAGCATATGTTCATAATTCATCTCAGTGAATTTAGGATTTATTTTGACCAAACCAGAGCTGGTGATTGCTGGAACAGTGGACCAACTGACAAAATGGTTAACAAGAAGACCGTTTAGGGTGGAGGAGCCCCTCTGTGAAGAGTGTGCATGCTATGTTCTCTGTCCCTCCAGGTACTCCAGCTTCCTCCCACAGTCCAAAGACATGCAGGTTAACTGGTGACTCTAAATTGGTCTTAGGTGTGAATGTGAGCATTAATAGTTGCCTGTCTCTATGTGTCAGCCCTGTGGTAGTCTGGTGACCTGCCCAGGGTGTACCCCACCTCTCGCCCAATGAGGGCGACCCCGAGACCCCAATGACCCCAAGAGGATAAGCGGTTACGGAAAATGAATGAATGGATGCGTTTGAATGAAGTAAAATAATAATGAATAATACAACTTTTTTTTTTATCTTGCACCTTTCAAAACACAGTTACAAAGTGCTTCACAATAAACACATTTAAAAACATAGAGAGAATGAAATGAACTAAGCCAGACAGTCGGCATAAAGTAAAAACAGGGTAACATAAACTAAAATGTCCTGAAACATAAGTGAAATTACTGAAAAGCAATTCTACAAAAGTTGATTTTTAAAAGTGATTTAAAAGATGAGACAGAGTTTGTGGCCCTGATCTCCTCAGGCAGGTCCTTACACAGAAGTGTGTTTTATGATGCATAAAACAAGACAGTTAAGCAAACATTAGTCAGAAAGAGAGAAAGGGGGAAACTTGGATTGGTATAGGGTTGTATTTTTCTGTTTAACCATTTAAAATCTGAGCAAGCTGGCTTGATTTCTTTCAAAAACATGGGAAGATGGCAACAAGCAAAAGAAAAATTACCCAAAAAAGAGAAAATTAAAAACAAGAAAATTAGTGGGGAAAAGTTCGTTTTTTCCCCCATTTTTCTTAAAAAATATTTTTTTACATTAATTATTTTTTGCAATTGGTGAGACATTTCTTACCAAGTAGCTCATTGTCTTTTTTCCCATGTTTTTGATAGAAATGGTACCAATTTGTTCAGGGTTCAAAGGTTTTAGTACTTGCGAAAGGCAACTGAAAGCACAAGAAAGGTGATGTCTCTCCATGTTTCAAAAGGTTAACATGGAAAATAGGTGTAAGAAGAGGCCATACTAAGTGTGACACACTTTTATGGTCCCACTGGTGTGTGATGTCACCAAATAGTGACCTAGGCACACTAGTCAAATGACCAAGTCAAACAGTTCAGTGTCCCGTATTCATTCCATTTCCATGACTTTTACTTTTCCAAGAAATTTCTGTCTCTTTATCAAAAACTAAGATGACCTTTCAGATATTTTTGCTCATTTTCAAAGCCCTGTGTTGGGTCTACGCTAAGGTTACAGTTTAATAACTGCAGAGGGTGTTAAATGTTCTGGAGTGAGGGACATCAGGGGCTGCACGGTTGTTTCTGCAAACGTAGATTGCCAACTCAAACACTGAACATCTGGTGTCTCTATGTGTCATGAGCTTTAGTCATCAAAAGAGCAATGGTCCAATGTATCCCGAGAGATATCAAGTAAGGAGCTGAAAAGGCTGGGTTCGGCACATGTGCTGCTGTAGCTGAACACGTAGAGCAAACTGTGCACAGGGTTGGCTTCCCGCTGGTGCCATGAATGTTAAAAACAACATTGCTAAGTGACAAGATGGGTAATTTGTCATTGTCTTCCAAAACAATCCACATGAGCGTCTCTGATCTGGCACACCTGTTGGCAGGGTGCCATTGTTTACTGGTGTTGCCAAAAACTATTTGGTCAACTTAAACCTCTTGGTTTAGGTTGAGGAAAGACTGTGGACATGGTTAAAAGAAGCTAACATCAACTGTTTGACACTGGAGACCACTGTCCACATCCCATCTCCTACAGACTCCAATCATCCACCAACCTTCTCCCTGAATAACAAAGTCACGCTACTTGAGCCTTTGCTAATGAGGGAGAACGGTCATTATTCTAACAACACCCAGAGGTCACTTGACAGGGAAAACTAAGGATATATATATATATATATAGTTAAACACTATTTGCGGCTTATGTAAAGATATGGTGGGGTAATGCTAATAACACCATCCTAACCTATAGGATGGGGATAGCAATGCTGCAGAAGCGTAACTGTCACAAGGCGGACGTGCTAGTTTTATTGTGTTTGAAAAAAATCCAGATTCAAATCTAGAAAGATTTTGAGTCTGGCCCTCACCGATACACCCTTCCTACCCAAGGGGCGGCACTAACTGAGGCATATGAACACATTAGCATGATGGCCAATCAGAGCAAAAACAAGGTGACGTATTCATTGCACTAAGCCCCATTGGTTTGCCGACCAGTGGGGCTAACTGATATATTATGCTTTTGCCGTATCCCGTCAGCAAAACAGCAAAAACGTCCTTCCTAGAAGCGAAGGCTTCTAGGGCAGTCTTCTGTTCCTCTCTCAAGGAAAAAGATGAGTGTAGTTGGCTTAGCGTTTCTTCCAAAGCTAAACTCAATGGACGCGGTCCTTCGGCAGCTGCCATCTTGGCTGTTTACTTTCCGACTCCTACGGTGCAGCGCTGTCTTCATCATGTTACGCCCGCCCAGAGCCCGTCTCTGTCAGATAGACTGATCTGGTCCGATAGGCAATTCAGCGGGCTCTGCTCGTCGGGGCCAGATCCCCGTGCAGTGCAAATTCACATTTGCTAGGGGCAGGGCATCTGGATTTCCAGGTTAGTTGTCCCACTCAATAAGTGCCAAATACCTGCCCCTAGTAGAAAAGTCTCTTACAGACTGACAAGGTGGTCACCCAACCAGACAAGACTGTTTTAGACTACAACCATTGATGTGGCGGAAAGGAGGGCCTTAAGCAACGAAAACATGGAAATAAATATGCCATGGTGTGTCGGAGCTGGACACAGAACAGTATGAGAGGACGGCTCAAGAGGCAGCACTGAAACTGGCTCAGAGGAGCAACCAACGGCCACAGCAACAGTGCATCACAACCATCGGACAGAGTTGAGAGGCCCGATTAAGTTAGTATCCCCCTGCTTGACTTAGATGTAGGCGGGGGTCGGGTATAGTAAGTTGATTTTAAAATCTGTGTCGTCTTGCCTTGCTGCCGTCCTCTTGTGCTGCTTCCTTCGAGCCTCCTCAAGTGGCATATCGTCTACTTTATTAGTGGCGTTCTCAACAGTCTCTGTGCCAAAAGGCTGAATCAAAGTTTGGCTGCAGTATTTCTGACTCAGAACACACAAAAAGCACAAAATAGGTCCCTACTCACTCAACACGTACTGTATGTATGCTGTACTGCGCATATGTGCTGACCATAAATGTGGTTTTACTACAGAGGGCAACATATGACACGTGGAACATTAGAGTTTGGGGCTCATTTCCTGCAGGACTCATACATGCAGAATATTTTATATCCTCTATAAAGAAACATTTGCTTAGAACATCTGCTCTTTGATGCGTGAAAGGTAAATGATGACTTTGGACCGAACCTACGCTGAATGATCCTGCGCCATGTTGTTTAGAAAAACGACACTGACTGTGCGGAGTATTAGGAACAGCTGCTTCTCTGGTGACTCTAATAGACCAGGTAGGCACGTGAAAGCTGCTGTATTGTTTCTACTATAAATCCACCATCAGGTATCATACAGGATGCATGGAATGGGTGTGAATCATGTCAGAGGAAGATCTTAAAGGTGGAAGTTCATGGCATATCTACATTTTTCTCCACCTCCAGCTCTGCTTTGCTCTAATTTTGCGCACATAGCTGTATTCTGTGTGATCTGTAGCTATTAATCAGTATTTGTAGAATACAAATTCCCAAAAAGAAGATTCCAACTCTGTGTGTCTACCTCGTTTTGTTAAAACAACAACAAAACAAAAACCACAAAGGTTATTTGAGTTCACAAAAAATGGTGCAATCATTGCTCTCTGGCAGAACTGCTCCTCCAGACATAATCCCAATCATGCTATCATTGTACTTACAACAGGAAATGAAAGCTTTGATGCTGGCCAGGAACTTAAGCATCATCATCAACATATTCCCAGCATGTTTAACAGACTACCTTTTAGTTCATGTTTAGCCAACACATCATTTCATAGAATTAGAGGGTGCTTTTTTCCTGGAAGTAGCACATGCTGCATTCTCACAACCTGATGTCACTGGAAGGTTGAGTAATTTAAATCCTGGTGTTGGTGTAGGCCGCTGGTCTCAAACTTTTTTTTTTCAAACATGACACCCCGAGCCACTCTGCATGCTTATGTGTACAGAGATGGCCATCAGTTTTAACGGTTTTAGATTTCATGTGTTATATTAATGTTACGTGAAATCATGTAAGCCCAGTCTTAACCACTCAGAGTAAAACCCAACAGGTACAGCAGGTTGTCCGCTAATCTGAAGATCGGTGGTTTGTGCATGTCAAAGTATCTTTAGGCAAGATATTGAACTCCAAATTGGTCCAGATAGTTGTGCCATCAGTGTGTAAATTCATGTGTTTAACTGATGAGAAGGTGGCACCTTGTATGACAGCCTCGGCCACCAATGTGTGAATGGGTGAATGTGGTATGTAGAGGCAAACCATTTTGAGTGGTCAGAAGACTAGAAAGGTGCTGTACAAATGCAAGACCATTTACCATTTTCCTTAGATTTATTTACCCTGTGACAGCTTTTTATCACTTGCTCTGATCATCAGTATTTTTCTGCCTGCTGAGCATCATTTTCATTCAGTTCATTCATTCTCGTAACTGCTTATCCTGTTAAGCCTAGTTCACATTACACACGATTTTCACCGCAATTTTAACGTCGCAGAGGATCTTGAGAGCCACCTTGGGTCGGAGGTGAGTCGGCAGATAGTCCTCAACGAGTCCTCATGTGTGAACAAGCCTACGAGCAAGTCGTCCTGTGACTGGTTATCTGGCATGCTAGAAAACTGGAGAGGTGTGACACAACTCTCCAACTCTCAACTGACAAAGAGCATCAGCCAATGAGAGGCAGGATACGTCCCTCGTCAGCACGCAGGAGGACGGAAGAAATGTGAGGAGGACAAGCCGCAGGGTTGCCACTAGCCAGGTCTGCTTATTAGCCTCGACTTTGGGCTTGATTCTAAACGTCATCTTTCTCTATATATATCCGTCTAATAAGTTATTTAAACGCATGATAGTTGCTTCTTTTGGGCTTGTTTCCATAGCCCTGGTTGCTTGTTTCTCTCCCAAGACCTGGCAACACTGACAAGCCGGCAAGCAACAACAACAATGGTGGCATCCACAGGATCACGGGGAGCGCATTGTGGTTGGACCCAGGATAATACTGAATATCCATGCCTTTACGATGTGTCGTCTCCAAGTTTGGTGACGTCACCGCGTTATCTGGGGCTCTGTCGGCGAGGGCTCGGTGGAGAAATTTTGTGGTGTGCACACACAGGTCGTAACGCAGTTGGCAAGACTCCCGCTGACAGAAACACACGTCACCAGGTGTGAACACTCAAAAGATTACGATAGTCTCCACAACGCAAAATCAGGGTGAAAATCGTGTAATGTGAACTAGGCTTTAGGGGTCGCGGGGGGCTGGAGCCTATCCCAGCTGACATTGGGCAAGAGGCGGGGTACACTCTGGACAGGTTGCCAGACTATCACTCACACTCACATTCAGACCTACGGACAATTTAGAGTCACCAATTAACCTGCATGTCTTTGGACTGTGGGAGGAAGCTGGAGTACCTGGAGAAAACCCACACTGACACAGGGAGAACATGCAAACTCTGCACAGAAGGGCTCCCCCACCCCGGGATTAGAACACCCCACCTTGAATTGTCATATCAACTCAGAGTCATTTTGGAACAATAGGTTCTTGATTTCAGACAGTGATAGACAAAGCAGGTTTAATCAATTTTGGCAGATTTTGCCAGCTGTAGCTAGCTAGCAAATTATGCTAACATTAGCTTAATTTTTTGGTTGAAAATGCTGCCTTTGGCTGACTTTTTCATGTGTCATGTTGACACCTTTTCATCCTGGAGTGAGGTCTTCAATCTGCACCTGAGAGCTACATGACTTGTGTTGCAATAAAAGAGCCGGACACTCTGCTGTAACATCCAGGACCTGGTCAAACCTAGCGGAGAAATACTACAAGGTGGTTCTGCAAGTCATGAAAAGGGCTTTTTATGAATGTAACCTCAATCCCAATAGAATAATGCAATATGAAACACTGCAAGGTATTATGTGCTCTCATGTGGACGTGGTTTGGAACATGAAGCTGGTTTGTGAAGTGAAGGTGGAAGCTAACACTGGAGAGAAAGAAAGAGACAGAAAGAAAGGAGAGAAGGAATGCGCTAATATTTGTGAATCATATCAGAGAGCAAAGGTTCTCTCAATTTTATATTTGTCTGTATGTGTGTGTGTTAGTGATGAAGTCTGTGCAGCATATGCGTGTGAAAGCTAATTGCTTCCAGAGCCAGGATGTGACATGATGAGCCCCTCCCTCTCTGCTGACCTGGCACACACACACACACACACACACTGCACAGGAGAGTAGTAACAGCTCATTCTAACAGACTCTCTCACTGAGCAAAGCCATAAAAACATAAAGAGGCTTTTGGGCCACAGGGCCTGTGTGTGTGTGTGTGTGTGTGTGTGTGTGTGTGTGTGTTTGTGTGTGAGTGTGCATGCATGTGCTTGCACTTGTAAGCACTTTTGTGTGTTTTTCTGTTTCTGGTTAGAGGCCAGGAATGTTTGATATAAAACTGAACATCCACACACAACATATCAGTCACACTTTGCTGGTTTAAATCTGCAGGAAATGTAGACTCTTGGATTTATAAATACAGGCATTAATTGTGTTGGCTTCCTCGCTATCTGCGCCCTTACACAATATCAACACTGTTCAACATTTCCCCCATAATCCCTCAACTTCTTCCACCTTCATTTTGTGGTGATTGTGACCCACAGGTCATTATGAAACCATTCTTTTAAACACTCGACAAAAGGACATGAGGACATTCCCATAAGCAGAGATTGCAATTATTATCTACATGTGGTTATTTTGTATCTGCACTGCTTATTTGAGTTGCATATATGTTCGACATATTGTGCAGTGATGTGACATCATCCCTTTAGAAACATATACACACATACAAACCACATTACCTGTTGGTTCCATGACTGACACGGTATCCCAGATCTCGTCACATTTACACTGCCTTGGTAGAAACGGCCTCTGTCATTGTAACATGTTGCTGTTGATACCAAACAGAAAGGAAACAGGATTAATGTGTTATTTCGACTTGTTGACGTATTGACGTCATACTGTTACCCACGGCAACAACAAGCATGGCTGAAAGCGAAATTATTACAGACTTCGTGGTGGTTCCAAAAAGAGGAGCAGCTTCAGTAGTGTGGAATAAACTGTGGCGTCCTGATTGTTTTATTAACAGCCCCGGACTTCTCAGACTCTTTTAGTGACTTAGGGGGTGATCACACAGAAATGAGACGCTAGAGACACGGACACTTCAAAGACGCTTGAAACGCTTATTCAATGCATGCTAGCTACTGGTGTCTGACACTCAAAAAGTTGAAAATATTTTAACTTTTCAGCGTCTACGCGTGTCTAAAAATGCGCGTCTAAAAAGAAGCGTCTACAAAAACACGCGTCTAAAAAGACGCCGGAAAAACGCCTGTCTAAAAAGACGCTTGAACGCCAGTCAGACGCGCCGTATCATAGGAAAACAATGGATTTACTGGCGTCGCATTTCTAGCGTTTCATCTCGGTGTGAACGCTCCCTTACTGCTCAGAGGGAACTCATTCAGCGGCTCCTCTGGCAGCAGCACAGTGTCTCTCCCTCTCAGCTCATGCCATGCGTCGTCAAGTATTTTGGAAATGTAAACCTACGTGCCGCTTACAACTCGACAAACATCTAAATATATGTAAATTGCGATAGTTGTGGTATCATAACAGCCTGTCACAGGTTACAGCGTGATGATTAGAGGAGAAATGGCAGAGCATAAAGACTGTCATTTAGGGTTTTACTAAAAGAAGGAAATCACCTGTTGATTTATTTTTATATA